TGGAAAATCGTAATATCCAGTTAAACAATCCACTTTTGTATTTTCTTCCTTTTCATGCTTCATGCTTCACGCTTCATTCTTCGTTCTGATTTTATAAATTATTCTTTTAATTGAAGGATTGATTCACTATACACTCTGCTATGCTTCAAGAAAAAGGACTCGAGAAACAATAGCAACTTATTTGGTTTTGCCTCGACGGACTTGGACCAAATATACCCCCAAGAACAACATCTTCGCACACAAAACCCAAAGAGAACAAAACGGGACAATACTAATAACCAACTTATTTGCTGTTGGCTTTACTCTCTGTCTGCTTTATCCCGAGAATATCTTCCTGCTCGAATTCACGCAATCTCAACAAACAACTGCGAAATAACTGCGCAACCTGTCGGCGCGCATAGTTCCTCAATAATCAAGGAATATCACCCACCAATTTACCTCTACATGAAATCTCAACAATCACCACGAAACTTCTCTAAACCACTAATTTCTCAATTGTAAAGGAATATCCCTATTCGATTTACCTCCTCCAATACCGAATAAATTACAAAGATCTCTATTGAGCGACATACAAAAACTTCAAGTCTCATATCCTTTCCAGGCGGATTTGCCGCCCACTCCTCCTCCAGTATGGATCAAGCCGGGCATGCTCTCCTGGCTGCGAACCTCATCTATGCTAGAGCAAATACGACAAATGGCACAACCACCACAGATGCCGAAACCGAAGTTCGACCACCTATATATAAAGCTATTGGAATTTCATTGGCCGTGGCTTCAGGAGTATTCATCGGAATATCGTTTGTGTTGAAGAAGATTGGATTATTGAAAGCCAATGAGAAATATAATGAAGAAGCAGGAGAAGGATATGCGTACCTCAAGAATGCCTTGTGGTGGTCGGGTATGACTCTCATGATTCTTGGAGAAATTTGCAATTTTGTGGCATATGCATTTGTTGATGCCATTTTGGTTACTCCGCTGGGCGCACTCAGTGTCGTCATTACCACGATCTTATCCGCAATCTTCCTCAAGGAGCGACTGAGTATGGTCGGAAAGGTCGGGTGTTTTCTCTGTATTGTTGGATCTGTGGTGATTGTTATGAATGCGCCAGCGGAAGCGTCGGCGGCGACAATTCAAGAAATGCAACATTTTGTGATTGCTCCGGGGTTTCTGAGTTACGCCGGTGTCATCATCATCGGGTGTACCTTTCTTGGATTTTGGGCGGGACCACGTTATGGAAAGAAATCCATGCTTGTGTATTTGTCAATTTGCAGTTTGATTGGAGGACTGAGTGTTGTTGCGACACAAGGTTTGGGAGCTGCAATCGTCACTCAAATTGGTGGGACCAAACAGTACAATCAGTGGTTCTTATACGTCTTATTCGTTTTCGTCGTCTGCACACTTTTGACGGAGATCATATACTTGAACAAAGCACTTAACATTTACAATGCGGCATTGGTAACTCCGACATATTATGTTATGTTTACGAGTTCTACCATTGTCACTTCGGCCATTTTATTCCGAGGGTTTAAAGGAACTCCAACCTCTATAATTACGGTCGTCATGGGGTTTCTGGTTATTTGTTCTGGAGTCGTCCTTCTTCAACTATCGAAATCAGCCAAAGATGTTCCAGATGCTGCCATTTTCGCAGGTGACCTCGATCAAATGCGCATTATTGCCGAACAAGAACAGCCAGAAACTGAGCCAAAGGCAGATGCCATTAGAGGAGCAGCAGCTATTGTTAGAAAATTCTCTTCAGCTAGACAAAAGATGGAAATGGAGGAAGCTAAGCGTCTTCATGAAGAGTCTCACTTGGAACCACTTGGTGAAGATGAAATCGTTGAATGGGATGGTCTTCGAAGACGTAGAACGACAATTGGTTCGAACTACAGCGCGAGTATGAGATCTCGCGCTAATTCATCTGTTCCTCCTCTACCCGAAAATATGCACCATCAACCAACTCATAGGACGACTCTTCCTAGAACACCTATTGCTCACCCACCTCTCGGTATGTCTCATTTCCCGGATCCAGAAGAAGAGCGCGACGAAGAAGATCGACCAGGTACCGGTCTTAGTTCTTCCATCTTTGGCACTATTCGCAACCGTGTAGCTCGTGGCAAATCTCTTTCTTCGGGCACAAATCCTGTTGTCAACCTGCAAAGTCCTACTCACCCTGTTCCCTTGACCGATATTCGTACTTACAGAGGTGGTGATGGTGATATTTACAAGAGCGAAAATAGCGATGAAGCTTACTACATTCATGACAATAATACTTTGGGTTTACCGCCTGCTTTACGCGATCAGAAGACTGAGTATACTGGCTCGGGAGGTAGACATGTTACTATTGCAGAAGATCCACACCGTCCAATCTCCAGAGCTAGTAATTTAGTTCCACCTACACCACCACCTCACTCTGCCAAGAGACAATTTTCATTCCAGAATGTCTTCAGAAAGGGTGGAGGACCACAACAAACTGACGGACCTCCACAAGAAGTCCGTTCACCTGATAGAAAACGTATGGGTTCTCGACATGGAAGTGATGAGGTTGTTAAGGGTGCAACCGAAGAAGAAAGATTAGGTCTCGTCAAAGGCGATACGAGAACACAAAGTCCATCGGGTACATCTAGTACTCCCTCATTCGATGAGGATGATGAAGAATTAGAACCATGGAGTTCTGAAACCAAGGATTTAGAAGAAATCGTTCTCCTCCCAGAAGAGATCCTGCGTTGGGAGAGAAGGGTTCATTTCTTTAGGGGATACAAGGATGGACATATGGGATATGATGGAATGATATGAATCATGTGGAGTTTTGGCGTTTGCGAATACCTAAGAAAGTTTTCCTTCCCTGGCATTATTATTTGTTTGGTTGATCGATTGGATGGATGGATGGTTGGTTGGGTAGGTGGATTATTATTACTGCAAGTGTATTATCACAAGCTTTGTATATTGAAGGAAAATGGGGTGGGACTTGCCTAGAAGGCGATTTGGATTAGGGAAGGAGGAAGGAGGATGGAAGATGAATAGAATTATTCGAGAAAGTGATTAGGAGTTGAAAGAGAGACCTATGATACCTACCTAGAAATTATTATGAACTTGGTTATCATCGTACCTACCTAGAGATCTGTTCTTACCTGTGATTGATGATCTATTGACGGACGGAGACATGTGATGGAATTCTATGAATAAAATGTGTGAGTGAGTGAATGAATAAAAGTCTTGCTTGCTCGGTATAGGTAGGTAAGTAGATATTTAAGGGAATCCTCGATGTTTGGGTGTAAGATCAGGATCATTAGTTATTTGTGTGTCGTTGCGTGATGCTTCATTAGGGACATTCTTTGTGGGCTTGGGTAGGGGGTTGAAGGGAGGGGGTTGAAGGGAGGTGGTTTGGCGGATTTGGATTGTTTTTGTTTTTGTTTTTGTTTTGTTTTACGGGGGGGGGGAAGGAATGATTGTTGCTGTTGCTGTTGCTGTTGCTGTTGCTGTTGTTTATCGTCTATTTACTTGGGGATTCATGGGAGGTTGTCTGGAGATTACCTAGCAAGTGCGATGTATGTATTTATGTACCTAGGTAGGTATTTAAAGCTTAATCTTGTTGCAGATGGAAATTTTTCTCGCAGAGAGAACGCGGAAGTACATCGACGACTATTCGTCATGGAAAATGAAATGAGGCAGCTTGGTGAGAGGGAATGAGGGATGGATTTCTGGGGGTTTGCTTTTGTGTTGGGGGTTTTGGGAGTTTGGGGTGGGGATGGGGGTGACTTGATACGTGGTGTGAAATTTTGATTCTGATTCTGGGCTTTGTGTTGTCGGTGTCGTTTGGATGGTTTGTGTTGTTGTTGTTGTTGTTGTTGTTGTTGTTGTTTTCGCTTAGATGTTGAAGAAAGTCACACGTGCGAGGATGGAAATAATGGATGTTTGATGGGGAGTTCTTGGGGGAAGAGCTTATAATGATTTATATGAGTATGATCGCAAGTCCTAACACCAGTTTCACAAACGTGCAAAAAGCGCTGTCTTGGACTTCGCCGCCATTTCGTTTTTATCGAAATTGGCGTGGGCAATGTGGTAGGATTATCGTTTCTTCGGGGAAGTACTACGTGCACGGGGTTTACATAGACATTGAAAAATCTTCTAGGGTAGCTAGATATTCTGTGTAGAGTATTGTGAAATATGTGCTAGGGGAGAATATGAGAGAGGTAAGAAGTGAATCGCAACCCCCTCCCCCCCCTACCTCAATGGTTTTCCCACTGTAATTCATCCCGAAGAATATACATGCTAGCAGATCTCTGTAGATCTAGAAGAAGCGAAATTTGAATCAACCATTAAGTGAACTTATCTACTACGAGCAACCTATAGCTATTAGTAGTCTGAACATTTTTTGAGTGTTAAGTATGGAGTAATCGATTATGTATCGAATCATGTGGAGGAAAGATGTTGTGCATGGCGTTGAATTTGACATCTGAGTGATGATGGAGCAAGAAACAGAAAACCGTGAACTCGTCAGTGATGGAGGAGCACAGTCTCAAAGCTTTTGATTTTGTTATGAGTGATGTGATGGGTAGGTATCATTAAGGGTGTTCCTTTTCTGGAGTTCATTCATTCTTTTTCTGCTCTGCACTTCTTGATTGATGAGCCACTAAATTATTCATTATGAAGACTGATGGGAGAGACTGGAAGATTAGATATTTTGGTATGATGAAAATTCATCGTTCGAGTTAATCTGAATCATCCAACTCTTGTGCTCGAATTTGGTGTGAGTATTGTTCATTGTCTTGAATGACTTGATTAATTGACTCTTGGTGAGAAACCTCGAGTCATTGAGAATGAAGCTGTGATCCCAACGATCATGAATTTAGCGCCAGATTTGTGCTCTTAAGCTTCGAGATTTCCTGAAAAGGGGGTAGAGGGTAAAAGCACAAACAACTATCATTCGGAAGTCCAAAATCTCGCTTCATAGTTTATCAATTTCTTAAAACATATCTACATAACAACAACTCATTTTCGGAATGAGGATTCTTCAGGAGAATCAAGATCCTTTCTATACCTGTCCACAAATTCCAAATCATGAAGAACTTGCCTCCGCATCTATCAGACCTCAAAGCACCGACCCAATTGATATAATGACTTCTTCACCAAACACCATCCAGCCCGTAGCTCCGGTGAACTACACTCCATCCTTCTAAAGCAACAAAGCCCAGCGCGGATCCGATGTAAACAAATCTGCTGAATATGATGGTACGGCTCAATCCCTATTAACGCTTTCCCCTCAGGCTGTTGACAAAACGGCTTTTAGAGAGAGAATCGAAAAATGGATCTCGGAGGTTGAGCATGGGAAATGGGAGGATGGGAGGATAAGGGGAGAGGGGGATGGAGAGAGGAGAGTAGATGAAGGGGTTTCTTACAAGAAGAGAAAGAAATGGAAGAGAAATAAAAGAAAGAGAAATAAAAGAAAGAAGGGAGATGAAAATAAAGGTAATGATGAAAAGTCGATAGCAGCTGAAAGAGTCTCTGGTGGTAAGAGATGTAAGAGAGATAGAGAGAGGAAGTATAAGGCGGGTGATGATGATGAAGTACACGGAGAGGAAAGTCGAGTGAGAGAGCGAGGGAATGGAGGTAATGAAGGATTTGGAAAGTAAGCCTTTTTGTGAGGAGCAAGAACCCTGGGACTCAAGTATTATGAGTATATTGTTCAAAGAAAATTGAACGAGTGAACGTTCACTGTCCAAGTGTGGTTTGGATATTGTGGATAGGCGCACGTATGCACTTCTTAAGAATCAAGTTTTCTTAGCTATTGTATTGTATTATAGTATTGTAGTTCAATATCATCGATGCTTCTTGGATTCTTTCTCTTTGTCTGATTTCATGTGTGATCTTATTCGAAAATTGCTTCTACTATACAAATCAACTTCAAGTAAAATCTAATGCGGCTGCTTGAAAGGTTTCTTGGCACCTTTCCTTTCTGTTGAGGATTCCTGAAATCTTCTTCGAAGACACTCCATCAAGAGCACGATGAAAGTTACATCTCTCTCCTCTAACGATATGTCTTCTCAAAATTCACATTTTGCCTCCAAGGAAAGAACTTCAGCCCAAAATCTCCGCTGCCACGGCCAAACTTCCTCTGCAGGTTTCCACTCCCGAATCGCACCCGGCACTTTCCTCCATTCTCCACACCACCATTTCCAATCTTCCACAGTCGGTATGCGATACCAAGTCCAACCATCTCTCCAAGATTTCCCAGCTCTTAGGACTTTCTCAAGCATTGAATTTCTAGCCTCCGCGATCTCATCTTTATCAATCGCCCAGAGATACTCCCACTCTCCAAACAAATACGGTTTCTTCTCTCCTTCTTCTGGAACCGTATATTTCTTATCAATAAATCCCATTATCATCCAATCATCCACTCGCTGATTTGGTCCTTCAGACTGTAGAATTAAATTTTTTGCGCAGTCGATGAAGGATCCTGCTGCTTGTTCATATGTGTTCCGACGGTCTGGGGTAAGGTCCTCGTAGTATCTTATGGAAGTGTGTGTGTTTCCGTTCATGTAAGTGATACGATTCATCAGTTGGTTGCCGAGGAGTTTTTTAGTTTGGTGGAATCCTTTATGCGGGTTTCGACCGGTGAGACTGGTGTTACGGTTAAGATTACCACTGGAGGTATGGTTATGGGGTTGATCGAGGGGGAAATGAACTGGGTTGGGTGGTGAAATGGTCTCGCCAAATGCTTGGGCCCATGTCGTGGACCATCGAGCGGACCACCAGGTAGAGGATTGTGTTGCTTCGGCGTCGGATTGGGGGCTGGCTTCTTCTAACCTAGTTTGTCCGATCTGGTATGGCTGGTAAACGGGAAGAGTTTGTTCTTGGGACCATTGAGATTCTAAAAGGGGGGCCCTGATGACGGCTGCCTGGCTTTTCACACCAGTAAAGTATGCTTGGCTGGGTGGTGGGATAATCACTTCTGATGCGTTGGCCCATCCAGTAGAGGCTCGTTCTGCTTCTTTGCAAACATCATCGTTTGTATCTTTAGGGTCATCGAGATGGAGATCCTCGAACTTGTCTGTCCCAGTAAGGTAAGACCCGGATGATGTATACGAGGGAGGTTGTTCTTTAGACCAGTTAGGTTCTTCAAGGTCTGTGGCATTAGTGATAGGTGGTGGAGTTAATACGGAGTCAAACATCTTGAATGATTGATCTATGTTTTGTATGTTGATGAAATGGGAATGTGTTTTGTGTGCAACGACGAAAAGTTATCTGCTTGTATAGATTGTTTCATGAGGATTTGAGGAATGGAAACAGCGAAACTATATAATACTATATTGATGAGTATCATGAGTCCTCTCGTTCTATTTCTTTCACATGACTGGATTCTTTGATATCAACTATATGACTTGTTCGAAACTTTTGATTTTGAGTCAAAAACTTTGTGTAATAATCATTGAGAAATCAGCTTCATGAATATTTACAAATCAAGTTCGGATGAGAACCTATGATTTAAGAGATATGAAATTGCTACTGAATACAGAGGATATGAAACCGCCTTTGAACATGTGTATTCACCGCGAGCTGTCAATTAGACACTCCCTCCGTCCCCTTACTGTTTAAAACATCAAATATTTCCAACTTCTAACAACCTATCTCGGACTGTTCCAACTAATTAACCTCTTTTGCCCCGCTTAGCTCCAATATTCGTCTCTTCCACGCCTGGTATAATTTCATTCTACTTGCTTTTGAAGGTCCAATGTCGAACTCGTGTCTTTCTTCTATGATTGTCTCACTTATTTTCATTGACTCTGAGTTATGACAATGGCCCTCGTTCTTGTTGTCTTTTCCCACTGTGATGGTGTTCTCGGAGCTGTTATAATTCTGCTCCGCACTGGCCCGATTAGCCATATTGCAAGTAGATGAACTTTCGGGTGGGGGTAAAGGCCAGTTAGGATCATGGGTGGGAACTGGATGGGTGGAATTGGTTTCGGTTGCTTCTTTGAAACGGATGTTGGTTTTGTCCTCAATTTCCGCCCTGCGTGACTTTTCAGACAGTATACTAGAAAAAGTACAGTTTTTTGTCCTGTGGAAATGTGTTCGAAAGAGGTTGCTAATGTGCATTGGTGTCTTGTGTGCAATGTCGTCGGTCTTATTAGGGAGTTGCTCTTCTTGGGCCAACCTGTTTTCTTCAACATCTCCACTCGTCTTGAATCGTTTAGTTTCCTCAACCTCTTGTCTTTCAACAGTTGGAGATGAGATATTATCAACTATCTGAATTTTCAATTCTCGAAGTCGAACAAGATGATGTTCGGGCAAATGCATCACTGGGAGACTTGGTATTCCATCTTGAAAGACATTGCCGATTGATATTTGGGAATCTAGTGATACGCCGACTTTTTGCTGTATCGATTCTTCAGGTGAATGGACTGGAGATTTTTGCACTTGTTGCATAGGTGGCAAAGTATGCTTTTGTTTGTGGTACAGGAGCGCAGCTTTGTGTAGTTCGAGTTGATCAGGAGTTTCGAGAGGTGTTTGGAGAAAAGCATCTTGAGCACCAGGATGGCTGAGCACCAGGATGGCTGAGCAGGTCATAGATGCTCTGGTAGAATATCGATACTTTGATATGAAGTTTGGATAGATCTTTCTGATTTACTTCGGGAAATGAATGAGAAATGAGATTGGGTTGAGAATGTATTCAGAAATATAAATAGTCCCCGAAACAATATTCTGCTGACTCTACAAGGTATTTCGAATCATTGAGTTATAACCAACAGAAGTTTCGCTTGGAAATTGATGGCGATGATACATAGTCAGGAAATTTTAATTTTAGAGTCAATACGTACAAATAAGAAAATGAAGCTGTAGTGAATACTTGTCCGTAACTCTAGAATGAACGCGCTCACTCAAACCACAATGAAAGACAAAAACACAGTAATAATTCATATTGAATCTCAATACCCCTTGAACCGAACCCACAGGCGCTCAATATACATAGCACCTCCCTTCCCAAAAGTCCCAACCTCTACAAAAATCACGCCTCAATTACCAAGCAACATGCTCTCACACACAACTCCCAGAGGTACAATAATCCCCTTTCTATAGGTTAGCAATGGAGCCTCTATATCAGATGTATAAAACATACCTTGAAAAAAATCGTAGGCTTTAGATTTCTTACTTTTGAGGTGGCTCGATTCCCAACACACTTTTGATTTGTTGCATAGCTGTAGGAGGAGAGGCAGTAGTCAAGCCCTCTTCGGTAGAAGTCTCGACACGTGTTGGCCCTGCGGGTTCTCGCAGGCCGAGACTACTAAAGGATGTATATACTGGTTGATGAGAAGCTCTTGGGTGTTGTTCGGTGTTTGTTGATTTGGGATCTGGCGATTGTATGGCGGTTTTTGTTTCATGAGTTGGGTGCATGGCCTTTTGGGGAGTAGGAGGCGAGGTTGGGTTTGAGTAAGTTGGTAGAGGAGTGCCAAGTAAGAGGGTTTGGAGGTTCATGAATGAGTCGGTGGTTGGACTATGCATAACTAGTCTCGTAAGGTCTCAGGTAACAGATGGCTCACTGGTGTATAGAAAGGTTGCAGCACTTAACTATACGTAGAAAAATTGAGTTCAGAAGCTGTTCTTGTCTTCAGTGTTGAGCGAATATGTAGTACAATATGCATGCCTGCAGAGTCGAATTCAGGGCCAAAAATGGTCTAGCACAGAAAAGTGACACCAAATCTGAATGGTCCATTGTTGTCATCCTTGCATTGGAATAATAATTGTCAGCCCGGTTGGCTGTGAATGAATACTTCCTGTCTACTCAAGCATCAGACAAGAGTGAAAGTTACTCAGATTCATGCGCACGCCTCGATGTCTTTGGGTTCACCAGATAAGCATCAACACCACCTTTATGAATAACATGTAAGAATCTCGAGAAAAATATAAAATTTGGATGGACTATCTCGGTTTGAAATCATCCTCAATCTGCATACGCCACGTAGATTGAATATTCTTTTCGAACCCGACTAGAACCCAAAACCCAGACCGTTCCCCACAAGAAAGTCTTGAGAAAGCCATCGAATCTAGCATGGATTCCTATCGTATCGCTCGACATCATAGAACCAGAGAACAAACTCGTCAGAAGGCTGCCCCTTGCCCGTCGATAAATATTCCTTTCGGACGATCTCCAAATCCTCTAATACCTTTCTATCAATCCACTCCATCCCCATCCCCATCTTCGCAGCCTTTTCCTTGTAACGACGCGTGAGGGCTCGTGTAGCTCGAGGGAAGTTTTTCGAGTTCGAGGTCATCAGATTCGAGGCCGGGGCGATAATTGTAGAAGTACGGCGTTCGGGTTCTGCGTTACTAAGGAACATGATTACTGCAATGTAAATCGGGAAGTTTGACGGAGTCTCGTTTGCCTAAGGATACTTAAGTACTTGTGAAGGATATCTAAGCTATTTCATTAAAGTGGAGAGTTCTTGTGCTATCTAGATCATATAAGTGTAATATAAGTTACGTATTTCTCACTGTGATTCAAATATTGTCTATGTATAACTTAATAAAGGAATGTTTCAACTACGTATTTTGGTACCATCAAGCAACAGTTCGAAAGCAAGCGAAAGCGTCAGACAATCACTATTCCCAGGCCATGTCCAGGATTTTTGGGAGCCAGGACTGCATATTGGCATTCAGAAGGTTTCAATTTGTGAACCCAATCAGACCATTGAAATTATTATCTTAAGATATTGAATCTATTTTAACTACTGGGCTACTTTCAAACATCAAAAGCTTACACCAGTTCCCCAGTCCAAATAATGGAACGCCTAGTCTCCAAATCTTCATTATGCGTGCCTCCAACGAGCTCCAGCTTGCCAAGCTCCGTATCTGAGCTTGTCCAATTCGATCTGGTCCTTTCTAGCACCGCAAAAATCGATGACAGCATTGTCATATGATTCATCGAACCATTCCAATCCTTCGCATTGATGTGAATTTGTGAGCTTGTCGAAAGTTCCATGAGCATTCTCAAAGCTCTTTATTTGAATGCGAATCAGCTGCTCAATCAATTTATGTTTTGCATCCTGCAAGTCATTCTTCATCAATAAGGTTGCACACGACACAGGAATGGGTAGCGTCTTGTTGTTGTTGTTGATACGTGCGGAGAATTCTTGAAGTCTTATAACGTATGGAGAATATGGAATGTTTGAAGACTCTTTGAACTTCTTCTCATGACCATACCATAACACCTCTTTAGCTAGAGCTGGTAGTGGAGGATTTTCTGAGCAAGCAGTTTGCGTGGAAAGCGATAATGTCATCGCGGGTGGAATTTGTGGATCTTCGTCAGGTATCGAATCTTTCAATAACATCAAATATTTCTCGGACGCCAACCAAGCCTCAGATCTAACCATTGACAAGTTGCCTAAAAATGGACAGTTTTCATACATTGCAAGGTTGACAGGTTTTGAGACAATGTAGTTTCGTCAGCTAATGAGTGTTTTTTTTTCTTCAGAATACAGAGACCAAAGCGTCAGGACGAAATACTGTAATGTGTATTCAAAATGTTGATATGTATTCAGTTGGTTTGAAAAATGCTGGAGTGTTGCAAGAAAATTTTGTTGAAGTTTAGGTGTGAGGAAGAAACAACTTCAAAGAGGATGTTTATACATAAAATTCGAGCAGATAATATGATTCAGATATTGTTTTTTAGAAAACATGACTCCAAGAGAGGAAGGTGTGAGTTAATCGCTAGAATTATAATTGCGCCGCCATCTCCCTACCATATCACTACTCCTAACAAGATTTCGTGTACTTCAAAGTCATGGCTTCGCAGTATTGAACCGCGTAGTCCCACGCGTCAAAATAATCAATAACTTCCTTTTGCGATGGATGTTTCCCATTATGACCTTGTTGATAGACTCGAACAAAAATTGAGATTTCCTGCTTGGCAATCGTTGGAATCTCGATAGTCTTCATACGCTGGAGGTTGTTATCTCCCTCCGACTGATCCATAAGTTCACAGGGAGCATCAACTCCCAGTTTGATGAGGTGTATGCGCACGGGCAATGTATGATCTTGTATATGGTAAAGGTCATATAACCTTAGGCGATGTCTGAAAATAAGGATTTCAAGGATATTGTTGTAATTCGAAAATTTCATGCTCAGTCTCCGTTTCAAAAGCTCAAGCGTATCAAGATGCAGTGTAGGTATGGAATGAATACCATCAACGCTCGAGTATGCTGGAGGTGCTTCTTCCATGTATGGAATGATCGAGTTATCTTTCGAAGACATAGCTATAGTCCTCTTTTACCGTGAACATTGGGATTTTCAAAAAGTTGACGAATACAAAAGAGCATAAATCTGAAATGCTGTTCCTGGAACGTCTTGTGGAGAAAGCTGGAGTATTATAACTTGATCGAAATAAGAAGAATTATGTGCACAAGTAGATGGAGCAAAAATGCTTTGATAGGAATAGAAGAAACCGAAAGATACAATTCAATATTTCAGAAATACGTTTGCTAAATCTAATTCACATATACAATATGAAATGATGAATGATTTAGAGCGGTATATGTTCCGCAAACTACCACGCGACGTGAGCATCACTTGATGTATACCTCCCGTCATACAAAACGGTTTACACAATAGCTTTGCTTTGACAGTCTCGGACAATAAGTCGAGGGTGCAAGTGCTAGTCATCAGACCAACAGATCTATCACAAACATAGTAGCAGTACGATTACCGACTTTTGGTCCATCTAGAATAACCACTTAGGTATCATCAGCATCGGGCTTTGCAAGTTTATGATATACGGCTTTCAGCTTGAAGTTGTCAGACCATGTTCTGCGAACACCAATATCATATTGAGCACCGTGGAAACTCACAAGCTGTGGAAAGGAGATTGCTGAAGAAGGCAATCATCTCCACAACAAAGGCAAAAGGCAATATTGGCTCTCCTGAGACAAACATGTGTTTGCAAGCATTACCTCAAATACCTATGATTTTAGGGTTCTCAAAATGATTTGGGCAAGCATCCGGAAAATGCGCTCCACGCATCGGCAGGAAGCGAATATTTTGTGCTGATTTGAGTACAATGCTATTGTCAGATGTTGCCATTACTACGCACCGGATCTCCCGAGTGAGATAAAATAGATAGATTCGGATGCAAATGTAGTCGATATTATGTGACTTAAGCCAGTGAAATCGAATGGAGGTTGATGTAACAATAGCCACAAAGTTATCTTCCATTGATTTTCAAGATATCAAATGGTATTCGATCCATGCTCTAGGATAGCAATTCACATTGATATCGTTCATTCGGATTTCGCAACTCACCGCCCGATAGCGGTGAGCAAATGCGGGATTTAATGCTGGTGATATATATTACCCCAACCCAAATTTTTCTTCCTCCTCAATACCCCGCAATCATCAAACACCCCACCATACGACATCATGGAGAAAACTATAGGACTTTTGGGAGGAGGGCAATTGGGGCAGATGCTCTGCGAAGCTGCGAATCCTCTTGGTGTCAAGGTTATTATTCTCGATGCACCAAACTCCCCAGCCAAACAAGTTAATGCCAAGAATGACCATCTTGATGGCTCTTTCATTGATGCTGAGAAAATCCGCGAACTTGCAAAGAAAGTGGATGTCTTGACAGTGGAGATTGAACATGTGGACACATACGTATTGGAAGAGCTCGCAAACTCTGGAGTGGAAGTGCAACCCAGTGGGTATTCATTTTGATATTCATCATGAATATGTTGATTCAAGCTTTGAAACAACACTAATATAACTTTAGGCTGGAAGACGTTGCGAGTCATCCAGGACAAGTATTTACAGAAAGAGCACCTCATTAAAGCTGGAGTACAGACTGCAACATCACAAGCGGTAGAGGCTGGAAATCTTGAGGAATTCGGGCGCACACACGGATACCCATTCATGCTTAAGGCAAGGAAAGACGCCTATGACGGACGAGGTAATTGTCCTGTGAAGTCAGAATCCGATATCAAGAATGCGCTTGAAGTGTTGAAGGATAGGTCATTATATGCCGAGAAATGGGCGAGCTTCAGAATGGAGCTTGCGGTAATGGTTGTGAAGACAGAAAACGAAGTTTCCAAACATGGGGACTCTACCATCGCATACCCAGTCGTCGAGACAATTCACGAGGATAGCATCTGCAAATTAGTTTATGCTCCAGCAAGAGGAATTTCTAGTGACCTCCAAAAGAAAGCACAAGCTTTAGCGCGCAAGGCAGTGGGCAGCCTTTGGGGTAAAGGTGTTTTTGGAGTTGAACTATTTGTTATGGAAGATGGTGAAATACTGGTCAATGAAATTGCTCCTCGCCCCCACAAGTGAGTATTTCAAGGCGTAATCTCAACAGGCAAATTTAGACGAGTACTGACACAATCTTACTACAGTTCGGGACATTACACAATTGAAGCATGCCCAACCATGTCTCAATACAAATCTCAACTTCTGTCAATATTAGGCATCATGCCATCCTTCCCCAACTCAGCTATACCTTCAATGTTTCCCGCAACGATCATGTTGAACATTCTCGGTGGAGCGTCAAAAGATTCCCACAAAGAGTTGATGCAACAAGCCGCCGCGATCCCCACGGCCAACCTTCACATGTATGGAAAAGAATCCAAGCCAGCCCGAAAAATTGGTCACATCACTGTCATTGGTAGCTCTATGGCTCAAGCCGAGCAACTCATTTCCCCCTTAATCGCGCTGAACGATAACATGCGCGCCGAACGAAAAGGTCTCCCCAAACCCACATCTACCACAGTCTCATCTCCATCTTCACCTCAAAAGCTCGTCGCTATCACTATGGGCTCAGACTCAGATCTCCCCATTCTCAAACCCGGTCTTGCTATCCTTGATTCACTTCAAATTCCATACTTCCTTACTATAACGTCTGCGCATCGTACACCACAACTCATGGCAGATTTTGCACGCGACGCCGCTTCCAATGGCTTTAAAGTTATTATTGCTGCTGCGGGCGGAGCGGCACATTTGCCTGGTATGATCGCTGCGCAAACCCCTCTTCCAGTTATTGGCGTACCAGTGAAGGGAAGTACATTGGATGGAATGGATAGTCTTCTGAGCATAGTACAGATGCCAAGAGGAGTTCCTGTTGCAACTGTTGCTATTAACAACAGCGTCAACGCAGCGTTGTTAGCAGCCAGAATAATCGGAGCCAGTGATAGTGTGGTATTTGCAAAGATGGAGGACTATATGAAGAAGATGGAAGATGAAGTTGTAGGAAAGAAAGGAAGATTAGAAGAGGTCGGATGGGAGGGATATTAGATTTTGAAGGATGTAGAATCACATTGATACCACGCATTTCAACTATGCACATGGAAATATATAGTTAAATGAACAATAGACAAATAAAATCAGCAATTAAATTTACATTTGCTTGATGTGTTTACTTAATTGGTTCCTTTGCTAACTACCCATCAGCGCCTGACCTCAGAACCAGAAAATATCAAGGAAGCATAAAGATGAAAAATCACGAGAATTGCGTCCTTAATTGAACCATTTCCCTTTCACCCACTCCATAGGCTTATCCACGAAACTGAGCTCTCAGCGCCATCAATTGTGCCCTATCAGCTGGTGGCAAACTATCGATCAATTCCTGTGGCATGGCCATGACTTGCGCCATCAACGCATCGGCATCTGGTTCGGCCACTTGAGCTGGTGGTGGAGGAGCTTGCCTTTGTTGTGGGGGAGGTGGCGCATAACCTTGTACTGGCGGTGTACTCATCATTGGCAAACCCATTTGGCCTGCCATATGTGGAGGAGGGGGTGGATATCCAGATGGGTATGCCGAACCTCCATATTGAGGAATGGCCGCAACGGGTGGAGGAATACTTGGGACGGGGGGAGCGGATACTGGTGCTGCAATCGATGACTCGATGACGGACGAGAGGGCTTCGGGTTGAACAAGGCCCATCAGAAGAAGGGCTTGGAAAACGGCATAGGAGAGTTGGGGAGCTTGATGGAGGAGTTCGGTCGCTTTTTGAGGATCGGTCGAGGCAAGGGTCTTCATTTGGGAGAGGACATCGAGAAGTTGGGATGGAGGGAGAGTGTTGAGAGTGCGAGAGATTGCATCAGGGCAGGTGAGGCCTTGGGGTAACTCGATGCCTATTGGCAGAGGCGGCAATGGGGAGGTGTTTGAAGCTTGAGGAATTGGTAGAGATGGAGGTGGAACTGGAAGGCCATTTGTATTGAGAGGGGGAGGTTGATAGTTTGGCGCAGACTGGAAAGAAACACAAATTAGCACACTCTCTAGGTATATTTGTAGATCGAATTATTGTAGGATAGAAGCTCGACATACATTCTCTTCCTCACCACCATCATTTGAGAAATCAACGCGCAATTTTCGATTCATAATTTCGTAGTCGTTTAAATTCCTTACTGCAGAAGCTGCAGAGTCTAGATGGACGCGCAAAAATTTAGCAGTGTAACCATGGATGGGAAAGTCGCAAACCAAATATGCAGTGTACTGCACGTACCTGAATCGGGATATTCTGCGAAACCGAAGCCTTTGGGTCTACCTGTTTCGCGATCATAGACAAGTCGAAAATTGACAACATTTCCCGCGCTGCTGAAGATATCTATTATCTGTTCCTCGGTAAGACCTTTTCATACGGCATAAATTAGCTTGATACGGTACAGCAATGACGACCGGTCAAAGAGAAAGAAGATAAATTACCATAAGGAATATTTCCAACAAATACAGACTTGGAAGGAGGTTTTATTGACATATTGAAAGAGATAATGAATGTTCCAGACTATGGAAATATGCGATGGACAGAGTTGAGATGATTTTGTTTGCAAGATTTGACCCTTTAGAAAGGAATGCAAATGGATTGATCACTTCTTTTGTCACTGCAAAATTGAGAAATGGCACAGAAAGTCTTTGAAGAAGTGATTTCTGGCTACTCTAAAATCCTTCTTGTCCTCTTCCTTATGAGCACCGACAATCCAAATCCCTTTTATAATTGTGGAAATAAAGGCGATTTAATAGTACTGCCTCTGTTTTGAGAAAATTCGATTTTTTTAATGTTGTTTTGAGCAGTATGGAAGGGGAATACGTCCTTGACAGAAATGATAGTAAGGTTTAGTTTATCGCGCTTCACGACTTTCATTATGCTTGGCGTCAAAGCTTGTGTGGAGTGAGGTGCGGCTAAATTAAAAATACGCTAGGACGGTTTTCGTTGATCTGATCATAGAGCTTCACAAATCCCCCTCCGCATCACAATTTACTCCCCTTAAACCCCGCCACAATAATTCGCAGATCGATATTGTGTCCGAATTTTCGAAAGCTGTCATCATGTCGAACAATCCACAAGATGTTTTTAAGAAGCTGCAGAGAAT